ATTGAATTTTACCCCTGGTTGAAACGTAGAACCACACAGAGAACATTAAAAAACAAACAAACAACAACAACAACAAAAACTTAAAAAACCAAAATTGAAAACAATCCCCTCCCCCCCACACACAATGTTCAGACCCAATATCTGACCAATAAGAGAAGAAATCTCCAAGAGTAGGGCCTACACTTCTATATAAGCAAATCCATTTATACTTTTTTTTTCAGTCTACAAAAGACAAAAAATCAGCTCTTCCAATTAATTCAAAGGATTTCTTATATAAAAATTAAGTTATATTTGAATTTGATATAATTTCAAATATTTAGTGTATCAACTGTTCACATACATATTACTTCATTTATTTGGTTCTACATTAATTTCTCCCAATAAAATTTTATTTTTCGAAAAAAAATTAAATTATAGGCAGCAAATATTTTTATGCCTACACAAATAACTCACCATTGATTTTGATTTACACTTTTAGAAATGCTGAAACCCAAAGATGGCAATTTTTAATTTTTTTCTATATCTTTTATTGGTGCATTATAGTTGTACATAATGACAGGATCTATTGTTACATATTCATCCATGCACACAATATAACAATATCATCTGGCCAGTATCATTTCCCAACACTTTCCCCTTGACTCCCCATCTCCCATTCTTTGGTCCTTTTCCTCTACTGGTCTCTTACATTTTCATGGGTTCCCACTCCCATCTTTATTTTCCTTTTTTACTTTCTAGCTTCCACATGTGAGATAAAACGTTCCACCCTTGACCTTCTGTGTTTGGCTTATTTCGCTTAACATAATGTTCTCTAGTTCCATCCATTTTCCTGCAAATGACATAATTTCATTTTTTACTTATGACTGAATAAAACTCTGTTGTGTATTTATGCTGCATTTTCTTTATCCATTCATCAGTTGATGGACACCCAGACTGGTTTCATAGTTTAGCTATTGTGAGTCTTACTGCTATAAAAATGGGTATGGGTGTATCACTAAAGTACGATGACTTTGATTCTTCAAGATAAATATTGAGGAGTGGTATAGTTGGGATAATATTTTAAAAGGAAAAGAAAATAGAACATAGTTTTAGAACTTTATCTGCTCATGATTACTACCAACACTTTAAGTCACACTGAGCAATTCTGAATTTTGTAAAAGGGATGAGAATGTGTCTTTCATTATTCAGAGACTTCCATTGGTAGCAGAATCAGCATCATTAAAATCATGGACTAAGATACCCAGGAGTTCAGCCATTTCCCCCATAAGTCTTTTTTTAATGACCATTTTCAAGGGCTACTGTCTGGGCATTGCAGTAACCACTACAATATGGGCAGTTCTCAGAAATTCTAATCAGTGGCCAGCAATTGAAGATTCAGGGAGAGAACTATATATCATAGATGATGTCTTAGAAAAGATATTTATTGAAAAAGCTGACATGCCATCTCTCAGGGATAGTGCTTCAAAACTGGACTGTGAGGAACAACTGCTTGGTACAGAGCACCCCAGGGCCTCATCTCGAGTCCCTGTTGATGGACAGTCCTTGAGCCAAGGTTGTAGAAAGTCTGTGCAAACATAGTGAAGAAGTTTGTCCTTCAAATAAAGTCCTCTGTTAATAAATTAATGTGGTAACCAAAATTTTAGTTGTAGTGGTATTTGGTTAAAATTGCTCTTTGAAATTGTACCCTCAGATTTAATAGAGACAAGAGGAGAGCAAGTTGATAGCAAGACATAGTGAGAAAGAAATACTATTAACAGAAATAACCAGTTTGCCCTTATAAAATCAGAAAGTACAGTTTCCTTCATTACAGAAAAGGAAAGTACTCTCTTGATATATAAATATACATTTTTTGGATTAGTCAATGTCTAAAATTCTGTATAACAAAAATCACATCAAAATCATTATCAATAACATGATGGTCTGATAATGAAAAACTAATTATCTTGATTTTTTTTATTTATATGGATATCATTTTATAGTTGAATAATTATTATGATCAAGAATTATATCAAGCTGGGTGCTGTGTGGTACACACCTATCTATAATCCCAGCAATTCAGGAGGCTGAGGCAGAAAGATCACAAGTTCAAGGCCAGCCTCAGCAAATTAGTGAGGCCCTAAGCAACTTAGTGAGACCCTGTCTCAAATTTTTTAAAAAGTAAAATAAAATGGACTGGGCATGTGGCTCAGTGGTTAAGCACCCTGGGTTTTAAGTCACTTTAAAAGTGACTAGTACTAAAAAAAGAAAGACATATACCAAGCACATTATATATGTTTATCCTTCCTACAACTTCTTGAAGGAGATTTCATGATTTAGGTTCTCCAGACAAAGATATTGAGATTTTAGAGGCTAAAAAACTTCTCCAAGTTCACACAGCCAGAGCAGAACTATGAATCCCACCTGTATTCGGACTCCTAAGCCTCAGCTCTTAAACAGACAGTTGCTCTTGTGTGACCTACTATTCGCTCTAGATAATGATTCTGCCATTGAGTTCCCATTGGTAAAATTGTGGACTATGGTTTAAATATTTCCTTAATGTAACAAGGAGCAGAAATGGAAAATGAAAAGAGTCAGAATTTTGTACAAGTCTAATCCTTGAATATAAATTATAGAAATGTAGAATTGCAGACCCCTGGTATCCCAAGACTGTGAAAATTAATTGGTGACTCAGAGGAAGTGGCTGCCCCCCCCCCCCCCCCAGTAATGGAGCCCAGGGCAGGAGGTTATTATTTCAAGTCTACCTACAGGCTCTCTGGATTTTTGTACATTAGCAGGGCCCATTACTTGATGGAGTGGAAGACTGATATTCAACTGGTCAAAACAAAATAAAGAAGTAAAATTTGAACTGCAGGAAAAAGAATAGTAGCACCTAGAAGTTGACATAGAATCTCTATAGTCACCCTGAAAGCAAAGAGCCCTGGATCCAATCAGCAGCAAAGAAAACCTAAATGATAAAATGAGGGGTCCAGTGGTCCACATGAGGTTGTTAAGTCTGGGAAAATGGCTATGGCTAAGCTCCCTCCCTGGCCAGGCTGCTAGTGCTCTAGTACCTTTTTCTTATTTGGAAATCAAGATGAAACTGAGCCTGTGATAAGCACAGCCCTGTGTGGTGAATGGTGATGGACTAGGAGATAAGATGGGGATGATTAGGACTCTACTGATACATTAAGAAGCCCAGGCAATGGAGAAAACAATAGTGGTTCTTCTGACCTAGGTGACTCAAAGTAAAACTAAAAGGAACTAAAAACAAAGTATTTGTCTTCTCAATAATGGAAAGTTATTGGATGTTTTAACATAGTATTAAAAAACACTTTAAACAAATCTTTGGTACCCTTGTTATATAGACTGGATATAAAATTGGTCTAATTCACATCATTTATATTTGGTCTGAAAGTAAATTTGCTTAAGGATCCCCTGAAGATTTGCTAGGAAATGATTCCTGAAATTTTGAACCATCTTTAGAATATATCAAATCTTAGTGATATTCCTGTGCAGACCCCTCAATAGCTGTTCCATACTGCTTTGGTTTGATACAATGAAGATTTGTGATTATAAATTCCAAGTCCAGAAGAAAAGAATAGCAATCAATATCCAAGAATACCATTAAGAAATAGCTCCGATTTTGGAATGCAAATCACCTCCTTCTTGCATACAATATTTCTTCTTTCCAAAGTCACAGCCTGTAGAAACCTCACTATTTCCTTACCTAGAGCTGTAGTCTCCACAGCCTTGTGCCAGTGATGTTGCCTTTGATAATTCTTGCAATAAAAATTCAGTCATGTATGACATTTAGGAGGGAGCAAAAGGTTTGATTTGCCCCAGGGCCTTGGGACCATTATAAAGATGCCTTTAATGAGAAATGAAAGGCAAAGAAAATTAGGGACTCAGAAATTGAGCCAAATAAAAAGGGTGACAAATCACTGGGTACTAGGCCACCCCTTAATAGACTTTGATAAGGAGAAGACCATACAATGTAGGTCCCCTGCCCCCAGGAATCCAAATTAGCCCATCAGTTTAGACTAGAAAAGAAGAGGATCTGTATGTAGCCTTGATAACTTCTTAGTTGCTAAAATGATAGGCTTTTAAAGACCAGTACAGACCAGCCCAGACATCGAAAGACCAGTACTACTGTCACCCCATCTAACATACTTATCCTTTTAAGAAAATTTTGTCACTAAGTAGCCCATAATAGTAATAACAGGCCATACCCTCCCTATAGAATCTATTCCAATGAGGTATATAGTTCACTCACATTTTTATTTATCTTTTTAGCTTGTGTTCTTCATAACCTATGTCCTATATCCTATGAACAGAATCTTTAGTCACAAGTTTTTCTTGTTGTCATTTAAAAGACAGCCACATTTCTTTCCAAGCCCCTATCCTTGAGTATGAGCCAAATATCTGCCTCTCACACTCCCTGGAAGTCAAGATCTAAGCGAATTTTGGCTGAGGATGTACTCTAACCCAAAGATGGTGATCTTCTCTGTCTCCCCAAGTGTCACTACTCAGTTCAGTCTAACAAAAGTCTATGTGGACAGCAGCTTCCAAGAAAACTTATCTCAGAAAAGAAAGGAAAATGTTCACAGGGAAGGAGGATTCCTGCAAATTTGCAAGGCAAGCAGTGGGTTGGAGTTTCTTTTGCCAGAGTGTCCTTAAATGCTGGATGGGTACTGGGTACGACAGACCTTTGCTAATTAAAGAGCAGTCCTCCTTTAGGCAACATCAATGTCACTTGTAAATTTGCTAGAAATGCAGATCCCAGGCCCACTCCAGGCCTACTAAAGGAGTAATTGCAATCTCCAGGTGATTCAGACTCACATTCATGTTTAAGGAGTACTGGCCTAGAGCAGTGGTTCCCAACCTTCGTTGCACATAGGTATGGACCAGGGAACATAAAAACAAATTACTGATGCCTGAGTCTTAACCCCAGAGATTGCAAGTTAATCATTCTAGGGTGTGGCCTAGACCCTGGGACTTTTAAAAGCTCCCGAGGATATCTGAATGCAGTCAGGTTTGTGAGCCACTGACATAGGGATAAAGGAGTGTTACTGCTCCAATACCTTGCTCTTTTTTTGCAGAATCAAACTGGAATTCCTGGAGTCAGAATCTCTCTCTCCCAAACCTGACTGCCAGAGCCACATTGTAAGTATCAGGAGAAAATCTGATAAAGAACTTGAACTCTGCCTTGTGCTTTTCAGCTCCTTCCTCCCCTCACTTTCCTAATATAGCAGGTCCTGGCCCCACATACCTTGGTAAGCCACAACAAGGGCCAATATCAACTGGTGCTTTAAGAATACAAACTCAGAGCCTCCACGTGAAACCTACATCATCAGAGTCTGCATCAGATTCTACAGCATCAGTCTGCATTTCCAGGTGTGTCTGTTGTGCAGTCAGGTTTGGGAGCTGGTGAACTCTATAGTGAGGCTAGCCTTTCATCCTGCCAAGTCATTAAGGATTTGTAAGGATGAATGAGCTGTCAAGAGAGCAAGGGCCTGCTGCAATGCTCCTTTATTAATTATGGGGAAGTGATGTATTGGCAATGATAATGCTTCTCTTGGAAAGGGCAATGAATGGTTCGTCGATTGCTGCATTAGGTCTTTCCTGACTCAATCTTAATGCTCAGCTTTTACTCCTCTCTGTAGTTTAAAAGGGCATGGCTTTCACACTAAACAGCCTCTTGGGTCTTTATTCCCAAGTGAGTTGCAATCTTTGAGCAAAATACCAACACGGGGTAGCCTTTCAGAGTTCTTGGTTGGAGAATACCCCAACTCCATCCTTATTTGCTTGTGTCAGCATCTAGTACCTAGCGTATACTCCTGCATACATGATATGTAGGAAAAACATGGAGTAAAGATTTAAAAAAATCATTGATACATCCTCAGATTCCTTTGCTAAAAGAAAGCTTCCTTTAGCAGAGGGGCAGAATGTGGAGGAAGAAAGATATATCTGGAGTAACAAATTCAGAGGTGAGAAACGGGTAGGCGAATGGGGGGTCGGGATTCTGTCTGTGGAAGAGGCAAAGAAGGTTCAAAAGAAAAGTTGCAGCGCTGGTCCGCGTGTGTAATCCATGGGCTGGGTGCCCAAGAGAGCGCTAGCGCGCGGCCCGGACGCACTGCGGGGCGAGAACCTGGAGGAAATAGAAAAATTATATCCTCAGGGGCAGAGGCCGGGAGGCTGGAAGGGCTCCCCACCGCCTCGGTGCTGCAGAAACTTGCCGGTTGAACCACAAGCGATCACTGAGGCCGCCGGGGGAGCGCGCAGAGGGCCAGAGCGCGGGGAGCCAGCGGGCCCCGGCGGTGGCGGCGGCGGGGCCGAGCGCGCGTGTGAGCGAGTGCTAGGCTGCGGGCGGCGGGCGGCAGGCGGGTGTGCGCGGGAGGGAGGGAGGGAGCGAGCGCGCGCGCCGCCCGGCTCCGGCCCTCCCAGCCTGCCGGCCTCCGCGCTGCCTCCCGCCCGCGCGCACCGCTGCCAGCCGCCGCCGCCGCCGCTCCAGCTCGCGCCGGCGCTGCACCGGAGTCTGTCCGCCGCCGCCTGCTTTGTGCTTCCCGCAGAAGATGGGAGCGACCTCTTCCTGATCGGGAGCTATTTAAAAGCAGGGAGTTTGCCGTATTTCCTACTAGCGGGAGGAACTGGGGAGAATCCATTCACACTCCCCAAACCAGGTAGGATCCTATGGTAGGCAAGCAAAAGGAATCCAGTCACATACCGTGAACTGTTTTCCTCTTGCTGTTCATAAGGCTGCACTTCCTTCGTTTTGGCAAAAGACTGGTTTCCAAATTGTGTGTGTGTGTGTGTGTGTGTGTGAATGTGTGTGTGTGTGTGTGTGTGCGCGCGCGCGCCTGCACATTTTCTGGGTGTCTGAGCTTGGCGGGGAGTGAAATTGCTCGGGCTGGTGCTTCTGGGCGTGAGGGTGCCTGCCTGCCAGTGCAGGCTGCCGGAGGAAGAAAGGGCTGCTAAGGAGGGATGCTGCGCCCTGCACCGCGCTGGGCTTTGAGGATTCCGGGCGCGAAGAGATAAGTCCACCCAGAAAGCAGCGCTGCTAGGGACCCAGGCGTCCCCACCCACTGGGCTCCTCTCCGCGGTCTTCCCTCCTCCTGGTAATCCCTGGGGTCTTTCCCAAGGCCACACTTGCGACCCTCCCTCTTTGCAGATGGGCTCTGGGTGCTCCTTCACCATGGACTGCGGAGAAGAGGGAGGTGTGGCCGGAGAGAGGGGACAGACAAGGAAAAAATGTGGGGAGTGGACTTACAGGGTCTGGGTCTCTGGGCACCATGTCGTGGTGTGCATTGGGGATTCTGCACACACAGGCATCTTTCCCCAAGAGATTCCAAAGGAACTTTGCAGCTGCATTATCTGCCTGGGGGCTGTGCTGGCTCTCGGGGAAATGGTCTATGTTCTGAGATGCGAGGATATCCTTCTTGGCTCCTCCTTCGTCAAGAAGAGGGAGGTCTTAATAGCTGGACAGTGGGTTCAAGAAACCAAATCCGTGCAGGCGATGCTTTTAAAAATACAGCATATGTGCATCCTTGATTGTTTAACTCGCCCTCCCTACACGGATTCTGTCGCTGTCTGATGAATGACTTGGGCTGGCAATTCGTATTTCCCTCCCCAGATAAAGTAGCAGTGGTTGGATTGAGAGAAGGGGCGATCAAATTTAACAAAGAATTTTTATTTTCTGAAGAAAGCAGTGTGCCTGTGGTCTGCAGTCGCTAGAAAGAAAGTCATTTTTTTTTTTTTTTGCACTAGGTTATGGTTTTAACCCCCCCTTATCCTGGCTGCCTTGAAGGCGCTCTCTACCTCTCTGCTAGTCAGCCACTAGTGGTTGTGAATATAACAACACAAACTTTGTCCTGCTGGAGGTGTAAAGACTAAAAAGAGAAAAAAAGGATATCAGTGGGAGGTGTAGTGGAAGAAGCATTTTTTAATATGACAGATGTGGTGAAGACAGTACAGGCATCCTGAACATGGAGGAGCGGACTGAGTAGGTGGAGATTTCTGATCAGATCTGGTTAAAGACATTGGCTTGAGTATCTCCGAATAGGAGCAGTGAACATCCACAATCCGGGACTTGTATGAAGATTTCCTAAGGGAAACGGGGGGAGGGAGGTCCAGGAGAGAATATGGAAAGTATATACCTTCCCCTTCTCTCACCCCCAACACACGCGGGAGCGCTCGTGTGCGCGCGCGCACACACGCATACACACACACACACACACACACACACACACACACGGCACACAGACACACTCACACACTTAAATGCTTCCTCTTTCTCTGTCAGAGCTCTCCTGCAGCAAGTCAGGAAAGGAGGGAGGAAAATGAATCTAGATATTTCATTCATTTCAGATAAGAAAACAAAGCCAGAACAGGAATGACTGGCTTTAGGTTCTTCTTTCAAATCCTGTGTTGCTTGTATTTAGCTCTCTGGGTTTGCTAAACTTGCTTAATTGGGAGGTTAGCTGGGTGTGAAAGCAGGAGGAAGGAAGGAGAGCTTGCTCCATCTTTGGGGCTTTGTGAGTGATTTGGTGGGGGAGGAATCACTTATTTCACCAAGAAGCAAAGATGTGTTTTCTTAAATGGTTTTCGTTTTACAAATGCTGCCTGCCTGAAGGGTTCCCTTTGGATAGAAGGACTCCTTATCTAAAATTTCTCCCACTTGCTATAAAGGAAGCACCCATTTTTCTTCCTTAAAATGGATGTTTTTTTTTTACTATTATTAAAAATAGAATGATTAATTCCTAGAAAAAAAGGGGAAAATGGGGGGGGGGGCGCTTAGCAGAGGTAAGCTATTATTCACCATTTAGCTGTGCAAAGGATGTAAGAATGTCCATGACAATCAGACTTAATCGACTCTGTCTTAATGGGGCTGGGATTAGAGTAGTGAACTAACAGAATATGAAGGTTGTGTGTTTATCTATCCATCTACTTCCTTGTCTATTTACTTTACCATTACTAGTTAATGGTTTCTACTGTATCCTTTTGGATTTAGATTAAGAACTAGATAATCCTTTTGTTGGCTGTGCAGGGAAAGGAAAGCATAACAACAGTGACAGTGCTTTAACTCCAAATAAAATTATTAAAGGAAGGTGAGGTACAGTCTTGAACACCTACAGGACTCATTTGCAGGAATTACATTAATTACTCTTTCAAACTTACTATGTATTGAAAAAATAAAATTCATTCCAAGACAGCTTTAGCTTTTGTTAACAAGCTATATTTAACATGTTTTTTATCAGACAAAAATAGACTTTTATTTATCTTGCAAAGTAAATGCATGGTTCCTTCCTTCTTAGTGCTTAATCTGTTTCTTTGACAAAATAAATGACGAGAAAAGCTCATCAGATCCAACCAAGTTGTGCTAAAATAAACAAAAAAACAAAAGCAAGGTAGGTATTCACTTTGCCTTTGGATGTGTTTGTTTCAAAATAAGTGCATTTTAGGACTTCAACCTCTGATTTTCATGGTGCCATTCAGTGTGATCAGTTCTTTCTCTATTGTCCCCTCAGGTAGAGGGAAAACAGCATGTAGGGAAGAAGCCGGCTGCCCTTATAGCCCGGAAATAAATAAGATCCAAATTGAACTAGATATTAAATCTGGGGAAAAAAGATACACAGTGGAAAGGGGATGTTAGAGCAAATTGTTTTAACATCTTATATTTTTGCAGTGTGTGTGTGTGTTGCTTTCAAATAAAAATTAAATCATCGCCTTATATTTGCTGAGAATTTAGAAGTCAACACGCTTTATCTCTCTCTTCTTCTGGTATCTTTCATCCTTTATCTAACCTCTAAGTGATGAATGTCTTTTGCTAAAGTATCCTCTAATATCCTATGACTTCTTAGTTACAACCCTCCGTCGTAACCTCCTGCATCTATAGGTAGACCTCCTCATCATAACCTCTATATTTATAGTCTCCCATTCCTACCAAATTCTCCTGCTCCCTCTTGTGGCAAATATTCTCCTGACTTTCCCTAGATTCCAGAATCCTATGTAGCATCCCTTTCAGCTCCTTAAGCTGTCTATCACTTCAGATCTCATTCTCAGTAGGAATTGTGGCTAACCAGGCCAGTAGGTTGCTGAACTAGCTGTTTCAGCGCTTCTCTCTGAACAAAAGGATTTCTATTCCCTGGAGATTGATCTAAGATCTA